CAGAATCAAATGGCAGGTCTATTTTTAGTTCTCTCAGTGTTCTCCAGATGTCTTTCTAAAAGGAACGAATTCCAAAAGGGAATTTGCATTCCCACCAGCAGTGTAGAAGTGTTCCCTTTTCTCCACATCCACGCCAACATCTCTGGTTTTGGGATTTTGTGATATGGGCTAATCTTACTGGGGTCAGGTGGTACCTCAAAGTAGTTTTGATTTGCATTTCTCTGATGATTAAGGATGGAGAGCACTTTTTCATATATCTGTAGGCTATGCGTGTTATGTTTTCAAAGTAGAGTTGATTGTCATACTTGTTTAAATCTCTTCATTGACTTTCCTGGCCTTTTCAGCCTCATTTTGTTTCATCTGCTTTCCCTCTTCAGCAATAACTGGCTTTTCTACTTGACTTTTCTTCACTTTGTGCTAGTCTCACTCCAGCTTTTAGATCTTTGCACTGGCTGTGCCCCAGACTAGAATACTTCCTATATCTTGAAGATCTCATCTCAATTACTCTTTTTAATACCTTTGTTGATCTCTGGACTAAATCAAGTCTCCTATTATAAAATTTCATGGCTCCTTCTTCCTATCTTTGTAAATAGCATTTATCTCTGTTTGTAAGTAAGTATTTGGATGGTTATTGGCTATCATCTGTTTCTCCAAGTAAAATATAAGTTCCATAAGTGCTGAGGCAATTTCAGTACTTCCAAAGACCTAGAATGGCCCTGACAATAGACAATAAATATTAAATAGCTGATTAAAGTAGGTCATTAAAACATAAAGCAGCTAATTCTAAATTGAATCAAGTATATATGGGATCATAGGTGTTGGCATGCTTGGCATTGTTATTTGGGAATTCTTGAGTTGTAGTATTTGTTTAATCTGATTCTAATTTTCTATTAAAAATAAACAGAAGTAGCATTTTATTTTATTTTTTATTTTGGCTTAATATGAGGGTACATATGATTAGGTTACACTTTTTGCATTTGTAAGGTAAAGTCTGAGTTGTAGTTGAGTCCTTTACCCACAAAGTGTTCTATGTACTCCTGTAAGGTATGTGTCAGGTAGGAACTTACTGAATTCCTTCCCCTCTTGAATTTGTTTTTCTTTCATGTGGACCTCTAGTTGTTGATCTACTAGGTTCAGCTTGGTATTGAGGACATGGGATTTTTGCTTTTCCATTCTCAAGATACTTCACTTAGAGTTATGTTCTTCAAAGCTATCCATGTAAATACAAAAGATTCAAGTCTCTTTTTTATGGCTGAATAGTATTCCATGGTATACATATACCACAGTTTATTAATCCATTCATGGGTTAATGGGTGCTTGGGTTGTTTTTTAATCTTTGCAGTGGTGAATTGAGCTGCTATAAATGTTTGAGTGAAAATGTCCTTATTGTGAAATGATTTTTTTTTTATTCTATGGAGTGTAGAGGAATGAACACCATGCTTACAAGGACAGTTACCGATGGAAAGCCTAGAGATGTTTTGTGACTTAGGGGCAAGCCTCCAAGTAACTCAGTGTTCTGGAATGAGATAAGATTGCTAACTCATTAGTAAGTAGGTGTTAAACGTTGATGCTTGGCGCTTCTTCATGGGTTATGGGGAAAGAACACATGAGGAAAGAGCATGTGGGGAAAAGCACGAGGCAATCCTTATGCATGCAGCCCTCCTGTGTCATTACTTTAACTCTCCACAGCTGTTGTGTATCACCTTAATAGCCATTGCAGAGGGGGCTCGGGGCTCCTATGCCTCTGGTTAGTCCACTTCTTACAAGCTAGCACTTCAATCTGTGTCAAGCCTGGTTCTTTTGTGCGGTGCCGGGAGGCGTAAGTGTTCCCGGCGGGGACAAGGGAGATACCTAGTAATGGGATAGTGGGATCAAATAGGATGTCTGCTTTTAGTTCTTTGAGGATTCTTCACACTTCTTGCCAAAAAGGCTGTACTTGTTTTCTGTTCCACCAGTACTGTCTAAGTGTTCCCTTCTTTGCACACCCATGCCAGCATCTATAACTTTGGGACCTTGTGATGTGGGCTATTCTTACTGGGGTTAGGTGATATCTCAAAGTGGTTTTGACTTCAGGATGATGAGAAGTTTTTTATGTGTTCGCTGGCCACAGGTAACATTTTCAATTTTGAATTACCCACTACAGGTTGAGAGCTTGCCCCAAATGGATTATACTGCATTCCACTGAGTATTAGAATAAAAGTTTGTTCCTTTCCTTGAACCTGCACATATTTGAAGTTTACAGTTCAAAAAGGATATAGCTGGTTACATGTATCTTGATGTTTTATCATGTGGAATGTGTTCATTTATTTTAGTTGGCCATGACAATTTTAAAATTGTACTATTCTTATCAAGACAAGAAAACATAGATATTTTAGTAGGTTTCTCAGCTCTTACCAAAGTTGGAAAGAAATCAAGAAGGTTAAAGTAATATTGAGATTATGCTTTTATATTGTCTATTTTGTATTTGAGCCTTTAGCTAGCAGATTGAAGTGTATTTGTGAAAACTCTTTAAGACTTCAGTATTTTCTTGAAAATTGGCTTAGTACTATTGTTTACATTTTAAAATTAGTGCTTTCAATAGGATTTTGGTTTTCATTTATCCTGAATTCTAACTAAGAGTGCACAATTTAAAAAAAAAAAGAGGCACAGTCAGCAGAAAAAAGAGATGGTCTGAGCATTTGTGCGTTAAATATGCATGTTAATTATGAAAAAAATTACGAAAATATGAAAACAGATGTTACATAAATTATTGCAGTCCCAGGGCAGCAGTAACTTACACACTGACAATAATTTTTGTATGAGCATGTGTATATCTATTTCTAGATTTCTCAATTTTTATGCAATTCCTAGGAGAATAACCAGAAAAAGAACTGGTATATCCTTTCAGTGAGACTGTGGTAAACATTCCTTCTGTATATGGATTGTTGAGGAAGTTCTCTTGTTTCATATAGTCTTGCTGTAGAAATGGTCTTCCGTGTTTCCTAATTCTGCCCATAATGTTTTATTGTTTTGTTTTGTTTCTTGTTTATTTATTTATTTTTTTTAAAGACAGTGTCACCGTGTCACCCTAGGTAGAGTGTTGTGGCATCATAAGAGTTCACAGCAACTTCAGTCTCCTAGGCTCAGGCAGTCTTTTTGCCTCAGCCGCCCCAATAGCTGGGACTACAGGTGCCTGCCACTACTCTTAGCCAGTTTTTCTATATTTACCAGAGACAGGGTCTTGCTCTTTGTCAGCCTGGTCTCAAACTCCTGAGCTTAGGCAGTTCACCTGGCTTGGCCTCCCAGAGTGCTAGGATTACAGGCATGAGGACCACACCTGGCTGTAGTGTTCTTTTTCCCTCCTTTCTTGATTTATCTGATGGTCTGTCAATTTGTTCTTTTATTTGATATATTCTGTCACAACAAGAAGGTTAATTAATGATCCTAGCAGTGTAAGAAATTGAAAACTGCTCTAAAATTAAAAATTGATCTAAAGGGTTTATTTAGAAATAATGCAGATTATAGCTACTCAGGACACTGATTGTAGTGCCATTTTTCCTTTAATTACTGTCACACTTGCTGAAGAAATTGCCATCATTCTCTGCATAGTGGTGATGTAGCAGTATGACAATATATATTATGTTACTTAAATATACATTATATCAAGTACACATGTTTTGGGATACCTGAAAGATATGAGTATCTTTCATATTAAAGAGCAATCCATATGATAAAAATATTTTGTGATTTTACAAAGAAAAGATGAGAGATATATGCTTTGTTTTAGTGGCATAGCAAATTTAGTTTAATAATATAAGAAAAACCAAGGGAATATTTTGCTGTCCAAGGATAGCTGACAATATTTATTTTCCATATCATAATATAATTTAGAAAGGTGTTGTTTCTTAACTTCTCAAATATAATTGAAAGTTGAAATAAGGACATGGTACATCAGAATATAATAAATCATTCTCTTTGCCAAATAAACATACAAACAAATAAAACATGGATTGTATTCAGTAAAATGGATATATCTAAGAGGGTAAAAACAGTTTCTAGAAATCCTTGTTCCAGAAGGGTGACTTTATTATTTGGTTTTAGTAAAATGTAAATCTAAAATGTGTTCGAAGTAATTAATTTCTGTTCAATCTTAGCAGGTTTCAGCTAGATCTGTTATCAGTGCTTTTCAGTTCCATGTTAATTGATTTATGTTTTACATTATATTATAATACCACTACTATCTTTGTGTACATGTGCTGAGCTGCCAGTAAACTCTCACCAGGTTTTTGAACATGAAGAAGTAACAAAGAATGAAATCTAGAGGAGGGTGAAAACATGTTTAGTAACTGTTTTATTAATAAGAAGTTCTTTACTTAAAGTGGACAGCCTACTTAAGAAATTCATTTGTCATTTTTGTAGATTTTATGTAACTATATCATTTATAATCTGTGGTATAGTGTGTTAGTAAAGGTGATAAGATTTTTTCTTTTTATCTAGAAAAAGACTATGGAAATTAATATTACCTCACAAATAATATTCACTTGCCATCACTGATGCATCTGTATTCTAAGTTTACATTTTATCAATGCTTTGGAATCCATTTTCAATGGAATTTTTTTCACATTTGTTTTCAAATGTCAAATTTCCATTTTTTATATTATGTGATTTTTAAATTGTGATATTATCTTTCTATGTGTTAGAATAGTATGCTTGTTATTTTAACACTTATTTCATTGAAAAGTTAAGTGAAGTTGTAACAGGTGATTTTTTTTTATAGTGAGGCTTTATGTATATGTGTGTATATATATAAATGCCATTTATTATTAGTATTATAAAATGTCTCCCTTTCTTCCAGGAGTTAAAATAGGTAAGGAAGTGATTAATGAGTGTGCTAATGTTTGTCCTATAAGCAGCTGTTCTTTTGACATGAATTTTTTTAGCCTTCATTTTGTATTTTTTCTTATGGTGTAGGGTTCCTTCTGAGATAGGAACATTTGAAGCTATTTTATTTATTTTTCTAGGTTAATGCTGTATTTCCACCATCTCAGTTGAGGGAGAACATAGCTGGTCTCTATTTCTTGATTTTTCTTCAATTCTTACTTGTCTACCAAGACTTAATTTGGAGAACTCTGTCATACTGACCCCGGTGTCATCTTTGACCTGTAACAAGAACATGCATTTTCAAGTGTCAACTGGATTTGTGGACCAGTAAAATTCTCCCTGAAAGGTAAGCATATAATCATTCAAAATGGAATACTCTCAATATCTTTACCATAGTAATGCATTCTGGGGTTTTGTACAAAAAAGATACGTGGTATCTCCGCAGTTCTACCAAATTTAGACTGTAGGCTCCTTCCCAGAATAATGTTGTCCCCTCAACAAGGTTACTTGGTTTCCTGGTCTGTTTCTTTCCACCTCCTAAATTCAGTTATCAGTTTTTATTCTTTTAATTTTCTTCATTATTTTTCTTCTCATTTAGCCAAGTTTTTAGGGGGGCTTTAGAAAATGTTTTTCCATAAGCAGACTTTAATACTTTTTATATGTGTAGGCCTTCCCTTTTCTATTTTCACCCCCTTTAGACGTTTAACATTTGTTAAAGGCGCAGGAAATTAGAATTATTGAACTTAGAGTTGAAGGTATCTCAGATAGGTAGCATTCACCTTCCATCACAACTCATACTAAGAATCAAAATTTACATTTATGAACCAGTTCCCACAGGTATAAATGCAGCTGGAACAAAACTTGAAGTGATTCTTACCCTGAGTAATAGGGATATGCTCTATGTTGTATTATATTCTTTGTATATTTCTTTTAATATCTACTAGTATATGTCACCTTTGCAATTTCAGGAACCCTGCGTTAAATTTCTTGTGTGTTTATTCATGACTGATTTGTTGGGAAAGTAAAAGAAATGAGGCAGTTTCTTTTCTGCCTCAGTCAAGTTGCCTCTTCTATCTGCTCTGTGTTTCTCATCGCTCTCCCAAATTCCATGTAAGTTATCTCCTGACTTGGTGAAAGAACTGGATAATTACTGGGAAACACCAGAGCCCTTACTGGATTCCTCTATAGTAAGAATGCAAATTACAGGTAGTGAGATCTCAAATGTTGAAAAGAGAGTAAGTCTTTGGTAGAATCCTGCCTTTCAGTAAGATATATGTTTCATGATTCTCTCCTTGTTTTGTCCTTGTCCATTGTATATGAATCCTGATGTCCTCAAGTCATTCTTGGTTTGAAACATTTTAAAGTCCCGAATACCAGCTGAGAATAGCTTAAATCCTTTCCTGAAGTGGTCTCTTCTAGTACCTATTCTCATTTTATTTGACATGTTTATCCTTGTAATAGGTTGCAGGAATTTTTTTCCTGCTTACAAAAGTAATATTTCTGTTAGAAAGTTTGGTAGTTATAGGAAAGTATAGAGAAGACAAAAGTTATCCCCAATCCTATTCTGCAGAGATGAATATCTTTTGGTCACCTTGAAAGTATTCCTCTTGGCCATCTGGTGACCATAGTGATATTCAGCAATAAGGTATGTAGCACTTTTTCTAGAATAATTTTGCAAACTTAATTATCAGACTTTGTACGATGATGGCTCTGATGGCCATTCCAGAAAAAGAGTTCCAAAATTGCTTTGAAGGGTTGTGTACTAGGTGCTTGTGTTGACGCATAGCTTCCCAAGGGGAGTACCTCGAAAGTGACTATTCAACAATGAGGTATTTAGTGCTTTTTGTAGGATAAGTTTACAAACTTAATTGTTCTACCTCATACTTGTTTGATGTTAGGGCAAATGTCTGGGATGAAGTAATAACTTTGGAAATTCACAGTTGTAGATGGAATTTAAAAGTGTAAGATTGATGCGATGCAGTGAATATGGATAGAGGAGATTTAAAGTCCTAACCTTGGGCATCTTAAGTAAAGGGCTTAGAACAATAAGAAGAAGTGGTAGAGGATGCCAGGGAAAGAAAGCTTTGTGAGGTAACAGGAAAAATTATTTATCTTTCAGAATATCTGAAAATGCTATAAATGTTTCCAGGAAGGAAGAGTAATCATCTGTGAGCAATCTTACTATTGGACGATGTTAGAGATGAATTGTGACTTGACTGTTAGATTTAGCAATAGGAGGTCATGGTGACTTTCAGACGAGCAGCTTCAATAGAAAACAAAAGTGTGATTGGTGTAGGCTCAAGGGAGAGTGAGTGGAAAACTCTGTGTGCCTGCTTAAGAGGGAAGTTAGGGTCAAGAGAGGATTTTCTTAGAGAAATAGTGTACAATAAAGGAGTGTTGCAATAAAGAGAAATAAACTGATGATGCAAGAAAGAGTGGAGAATTGTCAAAGTATTATTCACAAGTAGAGAATTTCTTTAAATAGGAGCATGGGTGGTTCATTTCTTTTATTTATTTATTTTTTGAGACAAGGTCTTACTCTGATGCCTGGGCTAGAGTGGAGTGACAGCATCATAGCTCACTGCAGCCTCAAACTCCTTGGCTCAGTCTTTCCTCCTGCCTCATCATCTGATAGCTGGGAATATAGGCATGTGCTACTACTCCTGGTTAATTTTGTGTGTGTGTGTTTTGTAGAGAGGAGATCTCACTCTTACTCATACTGGGTTTATTCTTAATAATTGGAAGGAAGGCATGATGTATGATCACAACTTAATACTGCCACTAGAATATGTGACATACACAAAGCATCTTGATTAGCTGCCTCTCACTTCTTTAGGCCTGTCTTATATAATTCTTATTCCATTATGGTTTTGTCATATACTTAGTGAATGAGAATGTATGTATGGTGGTTTCCAGTTGAGGAATTTTGTGATTTAAAAAAATGTTTGTTAATGGAATGAAAACATAGAATAGGCATTTATGAATGATATCCCTCTTGATGTTTTGTAAAATTTTCATGTTTATAAATATTTCTATAAAATGTTCTAGAGAAACACTGGGTCACATTAAGATTAGAAGCAGGGCTATCAACTCCTGTCTTATGTCAACCTTACGGAGCTTATGCTTCAAACTCACTTATGAGAAAGATGATAAAAGTACTTCATGTCCCTGATTGCTTAAATACGGGTGAAACTGCAATTGTCAAACTCTACAAATGCCAAGGGTCCATTGTGTTTGTTATGATTCCTATTTGTCCCTATTACTGCAGCCCCAGAGCGCAGTTGATAAACATGAGATACAATAATGGCACCAGAATTCTAGTCTTTACCAGTTGGTATAATGTCATCTCTGGTCTCTCTCATGTGTTTCTGAGTTATAACATTATCCTTCCTACCCATTTTTGCTCAACCTCCCAGCTCTCTGTAGTGATACATACAGTAGTCACACTCTTTCTGTGGGTTCCTTTTCTCGATTTTAACTATCTGTGGCTTTACTTACCCATGCTCCAGTCTGAAAATAGAGTGGGATGTCTTTGGGGGGTGGGAGGGAAGGGAAAGGACTACATTCATATAAATTTTGATTATAGCATATAGTTATAATTGTTCTATTTTATTATTAGTTACTATTAACTTCTTACTGTGCCTAATTTATAAATTAAATTTCAGCATGTATATATGTATAGGGAAAAATAGATTTCAGGCATCCACTGGAAGTCTGGGATAATAGGGGATTATCCACCCGTGGATAATAGGGGATTACTGTATAACTGTATAAATGTTATATTACTGTATAACTTCTCCTCTGGCTGTAAATACTGCTCATGTGACGTGATTCAGGTTTCATTTTCATGGTGTCCTAATACCGTAGTGCTTAAGTTAGAAAGGTAATAGGTAGTATAGGAGCAGTTATAAGGCAAAAAACCTGAGCACCTTTGTGCTTACTATTCCCTGTAGCACCTCTAGTGGTTTGCTACAACCCCCCCCCCCCAATCCCTCCTGAAATCTGGTACAATTTTCTGAATTGCTGATCTGGAAGAAATTTGGAGTAATATCTCCTATACATGAATATGTTCACTTGTCCACTTATCGCATACTTTGTAAGGGTTAGGGTTAGAATTCTGAGAGTCAGTATATACTAATACCTAGTATACTTGTACTTTGTACTCTTTCTTTGGTAGCACCTGCTGTTATGGAAGTAATAATTAAAAATAATATGTCTCATGCTTCTAATTATGTTATTTTAGTTCTATGTAAATGCAGGTCCTAATGTAAATGCATTGCCCTAAAAGAAGCAAGAATAAGAGTCTCTCATTTTCTTTTGGAATGCACCTATATTGTTTCATGATGTGGTGTGTGAAACATGGTCATTGTAGAGAGGCTGCCCAGCACTTTATGGACTAACTCTGAAAAAGTTGTCAGACAGGGGATTTTCCTTTGCACAGGTGAATAGTTTATGTGTTAACAGCCATATAGTCAGTGCCTTGCTAAATACTTATTATTAACATCTTATAATTTGTCTTCCTCTTTGGGCTTTACATATGCATTTCTCTAGTAGGTTGCCAATTTGTCATCTGGGGGCCTCGTTTCTGTGTTTAGGTTATTGACCTAAACCATTTGCAGTGAGTTCTCCTTTTTATAAGCATGAATTTGTTTGCAAAAATCTAAGTGCAAGAATCTCAGCTGTCTTATTCTCATATACTCACGTTCCCTTGCAAATTAAAATTTATATTCATCTGCAAACCTCTAATCCTATCCTAATAATTTTTCTAAGTTAAACAAGACAAATTGTTATCTCTGTGGGGTTTTGTACTAGTGGTGTATTTTTGATAACACACATATTCTTCTGAAATGATTTTAATTGAATTGAATAATCTTAAGTGGAGAGGATGTTTGGGAATGTAGGGAAAAAAATAAAAGGACATTTGTTCGTTTGTAGACTCTAATCAACTTTGAGAGCATAATTAACCTGAATTCATCTTTACATTTAATTAACAATTCTTTATTGACTGTTTATTGTATGGCAGGTACTGAGGTAACTGAAGAATTATTTCTTGCAAGTTATTTGTTTTTCTTTTTTCTTTCTTTTTTTTTTTTTGGCCAAATTTATTGTGAATGTCCTTTGGTTTTCACTATATGTGTGAATATCTGACCCATTTAATTTGTAATGATTTGACAATAATGCCACTATACACTTATTATTGAAACAGAATAAAGTTTTAGTTACTAAAAATACATGCCCAGATTTTATAAATGTAAAAATAATTTTACTTCAACTTAAGACGTATCTTATTCAGTATACTAGTGAACATTGGCTGAAGATATTTTGAAAGCCTGGATTACTTGGAAT